TGCCGAGATTGACACTTTATTGCGGTCGTATATACGAGATTAGAGAAAACAACATTCCGCCATTCTGGCCTATATATATATGTGCGCGTCCCTTCGGACTTTTTCCCGGGGGCGTTACTTTTGGGGGCGCGGCGTCGCGTTTCCCGTTTCGAATATGTGAACTTGTTGGATTTATCGACTTGCCCTTACCCTCCTCACAACTTTAGCGCGCGACTCGTATTTGCGTCACTCCTCTTCTACTACAAATCGCCGAGAACCCCGGCCACGCAGAACGTCGCAGTTTGTTCCCTTTCTCTACGGACAAAAAGAACCGTCCTTGCGACACCGGTGCTTACACGCGCGCCAATCGCCAAGCAATTGATTCCGGACACAATGTTTTTCAGATTGTAAAACATGGGAGGAAACGCGCGAGCATGGGAGAATCTTTCGATATCGAAACGCGTTTCCGAGAGAGGAAACAATATCTGAAGAGAACGCGCGTTTACGTGCGCGCACGTAAATGTCTGCAGCGTATTGTTAAAGCGCGCGTAAAAATAACAAAGAAAAGTGAGTCTAGTATTGGTTCGGTTGTAAAATTCGATAAAACAAACAAACATATTTTTTAAAAAATAATTGTTCGCTTTTATTGCTTTAGTTTCGTTAAATAATGTTTGAGAGCGCGCGAGTCCTCGTGTAATTATCCTATCAATAAAATGAACACGAAGAGGATTTACGTGGATTTGTGTAATATATTTTATCTTTTTTTTAGATTTTTTTACATTTTATTTTCAAACTATGTAATCCAAACAAGTGCGGATAACAACAATTATAATCGGCTAACGCGGCAAGCTAGCGCGCGCGCGGAATCGAAATCGTCGAAACGCAACCAGCGCCGGAAATCGATTACGTCTATCCAATGGCAAATAAAATAAATCGCCGATTTAAGCGCGCGTAGACGGCACGCTGCGGACGACATTAAACAGGATGACAGAACGTGCGCGCGGATGCAGATATATATAAGATACATATACAGAGAGTCGACTGGCTCGCGCGCGCGACGCGTACACACACACACACACACACACACTCTCGCCCTCACATCGCCCGCACATCGCGTGGATAGTGCGTTTTCCACGGTGGTTTTGAGTATTTTTTTTTCGCACGGCGCTTTCGCGACAGTTATGAAAAAAACGCCATGCGCAATCGGCGCGCATTTACTCGTCCTTCGTTTCAACGACCGAGGGGAATGAGGGGGGGGGGGGAGGCCGGCCCGATCTACAGAAACCGCCGTTCATAAAACGCAATATCCCAGAACTTTACGAGCTTTGCGCGGTGCTCAACGCGAACGTTTCCGCAAGCAAGTGCGCGCTTCTAAATAATGATACAACTCGTCCAGTCAGTTGGTCACGGTGGGGGGGACGGAGGGGGACCACGTGTCCGGGGAAATCCATAAACGCTCGCTTCGCCCGGCTGGATTACCGACAACGGCACTTAAATATCCCATCGGATCGTTAATTAAATGACACACGCCGATCGGTTCCCGGTGTCATGGATCACCGATCAATAAATTCTGCTCAAACGCGCGCCGCTCATCGCCGGTGTGTGCTAATGAATATGCCGGCGCGCTGGTTCGCGCCGAGCGAGAGAGCGTATCTCGCGCGACAGATTCGAACGATAGCGGGGTGCGCGAGATTTATACGAATGTAAAATATCGGAAACAAAGACATCTGTATGTTTATCTCCCGTCTATGTACAAACTTGCGGGGGTCAATATTGGAGTCGGAATATTCGCGTAATATGTAATAAGCGCCAACTAATGTGTGGGAGGATTGTGGGGTATGGGGGGCGGAAGGGAATTGGGAGGACATGATTGAAATGGTGCTGGGGGAGGGAGAAGGATGGTTAAGGAGGTTGGAGAAATATAGGGGAACGGAAAAAGAGGTAGGACAGGGGGAGGGAGAGGAGTGATTAGGAAGGGAGGGATGAAAGTTGGTGAGTGGGAGTTGAGTGAATGGGTGTGTGGAAAGAATTGTGTAATTGTATGTATGAGAGTAAAGAGAGTATGGGGACCGATGGCGGAGTAGCTGGATAGAGTTGATTGCCGAAAGGGGAGGTCCACATTGCGTAGAGTAGGGTAAAGCGATTGCGTGTGTGTGTATATAGGTATTTTAGTTTTAAGTTAGTTGTAAGGTTAGTTGTAAGAGTAGATGTAAGATTTTTGTGTAAGGTATTGTAACCCTAAGGGGAATCAATAAACACTATCTATCTATCTATCTATGTAAGCGCCAACTAAAAGATGCCGAATATTGAAACAATAAATATTCGTGAAAAATAGGTGGATATGCAGTTATACGGATCAAATCTCCGATCTCAACAATTTTGACATATGTTGTCAAAGTCACATCCCTGAATAATAATACGAAGGTTTTAGCCGTCAATCGTTGTTTGTCAAAAAGTTATAAACAAAAGAAGTTGCGTCAATACACTCTTATTTTCCGACACACTATGTACATTTTGTATTATTTTTCTTCTTTATTATTTGCAATATTTGACAATATATGTCTGTTGTTATTATAATACATTTGTAAATATTATTCATTGGTTCGAACAAAATTCAATATCATTTAGTAGTTTTCAATATTATTGTGAAACATTTGTCTGTACGTTCCTCGTGTACGTAACGGCGTTTGGCTTTTTTTAACAAGACTACTTTATTTATTGTTTATGTTCTTCTTGTTCGTGTTGTAAGCGTGTAGACAGAGGGACTTTGTCCCCCCGCGGAGGTAGTGGCTTCGCCCCCCTTCTTCCCCTCGAAAATCCACGTATACACTCTTGACATGAAGCGACATTTAATCGAAAGCCGTTCTTTATTTTTCCTCGAGAAGGTATAAGAGGAGAGGCAAAGCCCCCTTGTCTACAACACAAACAAAATGTACATGGTGTCGGAAAAAATAAGAGATCATTTATAAAACTTCTTTTGTTTATAACTTTTTAACAAACAACGAGCGACGGCTAAAATCTTCATATTATTACTCAGGGAGGTGACCTTGACAACATATGTCGAACTTGTTGAAATCGAAGGGTGGTCCGTATAACTTCATATTTACCAGTTTCCAATTTGAAGCAAACGATTTTCATGTTTCCAACAAATGAAGTATTTATTTTTATCGCCCCCCATTACAAAGCCCCCTTGCCTACAACACAAACAAAATGTACATGGTGTCGGAAAAAATAAGAGTTCATTTATAAAACTTCTTTTGTTTATAACTTTTTAACAAACAACGAGCGACGGCTAAAATCTTCATATTATTACTCAGGGAGGTGACCTTGACAACATATGTCGAAATTGTTGAAATCGAAGGGTGGTCCGTATAACTGCATATTTACCAGTTTCCGATTTGAAGCAAATGATTTTCATGTTTCCAACAAATAAAGTTATTTATTTTTATCGCCCCCCATTACACGTTCTACTGAATCAGAACAAGAAAAGTGAGTCACCAATGTTGAATCAACTCACAAGTTTTGTGAGTAAAAGATAAAATTGACATTATCTGCGACCGCAAATATCCAATAAAGGCATCCGAGACGGTACCGGTAGACGATATTTTAATCAATTCCAAAGCCATATATTCACGTCTATACAACACTAAAATGTTCAATTGATCGAAATAACGAGTCACACTTAAATTATGATTTTCATCGACGTCGCCGGCTATTTATTTGCGAATCCGCGAACTTCATCGGAAACGGAAATCCTCTCGTTTCTATCTAGCACAGTTTCCAATTAAATATCATCACCGGAGAGAGCGTCGCACATCCAGAGGTGCGACAGTTGATCTTTCCATCTCCGCTTAGCTCTCTCCGCTCATCTAACTCTGTGGACGTGTCACTTGCAGAGATCACAGCAGGTAAACGGTGGCGAGCGATGGCGAGCCAGGGCATCGACGACGTTGGGACCTGCCGACGCTATCGATCCACCGATCGTATAACCGACGGGAATCGATAACTAATACGCGAAGCCCCGTCGCCGGATGTTGCCTTGTTGATAAAGGACCGCCCTGTGAGCGCCGGCAGCGGCATCAAGGACGCCGCAGGAGGGCCGTAGGGCAACGCGGGCTACCGGCACATAATTGATTGGCATTAGCGCGCCTGATTGCCGGTTCCCTCCTCGGAAATCGTCCCACGAGCTGCTTAAATACTGGCCGACGTCTCTTGACGGGGCCAACCGAACGAGCACGTATTTGAACGGTCGCGACAGTAATCAGGCAATATGGTGCGTGCGACCAAGGAAGATCGATTGATGAGGGCTGAATTCTGGGTCCCTCTCGTCGCCTGCTTTCCTATAACGTTGACGTTGAATAATCCTATATATGCGGGCTTGTCTGTACTATCACATAGTGTCTCAGCAAGCACCGTCTGTTGTCGCTTCCTCTTATCCGTAAATATTGATTCTCGCTGCAAAGGGTTTCGTCCCTCGCCGCTATGGGAAATCGCGAAATCGACATTTTGAGAAACTATATATAAGAAAATCGGATTCGATGGATATGCAAACTCGCGCATAGTCGCGCCGCGACTGTGGAATAACAATCGAATATGGTTTTCGGTAAATTGCTAGTCGGGTTATATGCGGGCGCTTCTTATCGGGAGGTTTTTTGCGTCAACCCTTTGACAAACTGTCGAAAAAAAAAAAAAAAATCACTCTCTCAATCCGCCGCGATAGCGGTGGGATCGAAAGAGCCGGGAAATTAAGTTCCAAACGTATAGATACGGGGATCTAACACTCTGTGAGGAGGATGCAATTCTCTTTGCAAAGAGAGCGTGTAATGCGTCTTCTAGAAAAAAGTGTTAAAAAAAGATGGAATAAAATTTCTCCAAACTTTTGCATGCGTTGAATTTTGCGACGTTTGCGCGCAAAAAATTTCAATGGTCGATCGGATCGGTTGGTTGAATAATCGCGCAAAGGATGTTGGAAAGATGTCAAGCATATCTCTCTTAGCAGAAGTGGAAAACTTCTACTATACCTGAAGACAATGTCTCCTCGCGAGCCAGCCAATATGCTGAAGCTGCTGCGGATCCGGAAGTGCTGAGGCCAGTCGTAATGCTTTCAAGGTGAGGGCTGCCAACGCCGAGTGCAAAGCATTGAACCAGACGTTCGCCTCGGTGTTATCAGCGGCTCTCAACCAGCACTCGTGCACCCCATCGGGCGAATGTAACTCCAGAATACGTCCTTCTGAAACAACGAGAGAGAGAAAAAAGACGTGAAATAAAATATGCTATGTTCGACAGAGCGCGACGGATTGTTGCCGCCACCGCGCTCCTATTTCTCGTGGAATTTTTTTCGAATCGTTTCTTAAAAAGAAAGAACTTTTTTATTCTCAAAAATCTGATTTGATTTAACAATTCTATTACATCGAGAAATTTCTTATTTTCTTCCAGAGATTAAGGTCCCGTCAATCATGTGGAGAAAAGCCGGTGGAAGGTCTCGCACCGACGGCGCCAGAATTAAATTCTTCCGATGTCGCTTCTCTAGTAGCTTATAAACTTTCATCTAACGTTAACGCGAAAACTTTAATGCGTTTGACATAAATCGCGCACAAGATCGGTCACGAAGGCTCGGGAATAAGTTTATAATCGTGATATCGCCGGTTCTGGAGATTTGTCTCGCTCTTCGAGAAATCCCACATAATTCGTCTACCTACACACACACACACATACAGAGAGAAAGAGAGAGAGAGAGAGAGAGAGCTCCGAGAACCTCGCAATTTCCTGTTTGGCTGGGTTCGAGATTTATTATGCTAATACTATATAAGCCTGTTTTTCAGCGCCAATAATTGTGCCACTGCAGCGCGTTATCGATTTCCCAGAACGTATTGCGCAAACAAGATGTTTTAAGAGGTTTTAAATTTATTAAATAGGAACAAAATGTCCGGCACATATGTATTTGTACCAAAAACTACTTAAAACTTGACATTTATATCAATAATAATTATTGAAACTGGCATATCTATTCTACGAGACTTTTCAATCTCCTAATTATACGCGAAATGTGTGTGCGTGTGTGTGTGTGTGTGTGAGAGTTATAATAAACTTTACTCTCTCGCTCTCTCGTAATAGGAAATTTCAGGTAAGCGCGGCGCAATTGCGGAGTTGTTTGAAATTGCAGCCATCTCTTTTCGCTCGGTGAGCTTAGACTCTCAACCATCAAACTCATTGGCATTTCGTACAGAAACACGCGCCGACGTGCTCTTTTTCCGATTCCGTATACACATTCTAATCGCTCTCTCTCTATCGGGAGAAACGCGCAGAAAGTTCTGGGAGCAGCAAACTCCCCCGTGCTACGTGTGTGCGGAAAGGCGCGGCAGCCGTAAGAAAATATTGAATTTCCGATCAAAAGGAAATTACGCTCGAGTTAAAAGCCCCTTTATGTCACTTCCGTCTACCGACCTTTTCTGCCTAAAAAGAGGCAAACGAGACGAATATCGGTCTTGCGAAAAGGGGGACAGAAACATCGAGAAACGTAGCGTGATGTCGAAATGATAGGATCACGTGATTAATGTTTTCCCTCATCTATTTTATTGTAAAGGGAAATTTAATCGATCGAGTGCATCTCGATAGATCTCTCACGGCGGAAGACAGGAAACTAATGTATCGAAAGTTTTTGCAGGAGCTTATCGAGTCAGAAACACGATTACTTCCAACTACTACAATTTATCTTTTTTTGACGTTGTAATTGCAATTAGAGCTCTGTGTGTGTCTGTGTGTGTGTGTCATTTAAACAACTGCAATTAGTAACTTAGTAAACAGCAATTAATAATCTATTCGTTTTAATGTTATTAAAAGATAATTATTTATTCAAAATTACGTCGGTTTAAAATGTCATGCAAAATCGTTGCAAAAACTGCGTCGTATAACGCACGTTTAGTAAAAAAAAAGTATCAATCTCGGTGTTTTTCTTAAAAAGAAAAAAGAGTTATTTGTAACAGGTTGCCGAAGCGCTAACCATCTGAATACGTTAGTCATTTGTTGAATACACGCTTCGTAAAAAGGATCGCGAGGATATAATTTTAGATGCGTTGTGATAACAGTCGTGCCGAGTGATAACAGCCACTCTTCGGGAAACACACAGCTAACGCCGTGAAATCGAGCAACACAGCCGAGAGAATTCTTTGCCAAAAACCACCGAGCGTGATCCCGAGCGTCTGTCTCGTTACGTATACATGAGAAGAATACACTACGCGAATACATATATACATATATACCTACATAATACGAAAATAGCAAACTCATATTGTTTCGCAAAAGGTATAGAAAACTCTCTCTCTGATGTGTATAACATCCAATATTCATCTTACACAACAATATCATATTACGTATAGTATATCGTACATAATATTGAAAATAATTAAACAATATTTTTTTTAAACTAAGAAATATATTATCGGTCATCCGAGCCGATCGCAGCCGATGTTATGCGGAAAACGGCGTATGTATATATATGTATATGCATATATATATTTGTTCGCGTGTAAATTTTTACGCGCGAATTTTTTGAATTGAATATCAAAAAATTTACACGCGAACAAATATATATATATGCATATATATATATACGCAGTTTCCGCACAACATCCTGCGATCGGCTCGGATGACCGTATTATTTCTTAGTTTAGTAACTTATCGAGCTTCAATAAAATTTAATTGTTAATATTTTTTTTTATATATATATATATAGTATATAATAATATTTATTTTATATATATGTAAGCGAAATATATATATATATATGCATATATATATATACATACGCCGTTTTCCGCACAACATCCTGCGATCGGCTCGGATGACCGTTAATATATTTCTTAGTTTAGTAACTTGTCGAGCTTCAATAAAATTTAATTGTTAATATTTTTTTTCTTCACAAACAATTTTCTCAAATACTCGAGTACTTTTATCAGATCATTTCAAAATATCTGCCTTCCGAGAATGTGCATCTTTCCGTTGAGAGAAAATTTTCACACTTTCGAAAAATTAACGCATATATGTATATATATATATATATATATATACATTACGCCGCGATCGCGAAACGTGCTTTCGCGCATTTTTCGTGAGCTACCGCGAGAAAATTCTTTTCTCGCGGTTTTCCGCATTCAGTGTGCCTTCTCTCGCGCGTAAGATCTATGGAAAATCGCTTGATTTTGCGTCAACTAGTACCGCGAGGAGAACCTTTTTGCCGGTTCGGCAGAAAAATGCAAGCGAAGATTTACGCGGGGATAGAAAAGTGCAACCCGAGTAATTGTAGCAAAATTCTTTGCGCTTGTGTGTGAGAAAAGAAAAAAAGAAAGAGAAACAGACATTAATTTGTATACTTTTGCTTAAAAGTGCAAATGAAGAATAATTCGTTTCTAATGTTTTTTTTTTTTTTTTTTATTGTTTTCTTAATGAATAATAAAATTCGATGCAAACGAATGAATATTTTGTATTATGCTTTCATTGTTTTTGTTTATATTTTACTGTTTATGTTTTCGTATTATCAATCTTCTTCTATATAATTCCTCTTCATGAATTTTACAAATTCTAAATACTTTTTCTTTTTTTGCACCAACCTTCGCTGCGAAAACTCCTCGATATTATACAAACGCCATTTTCGCCACGCACACTCGTAGAACTGCGTCTCGAGAGGGGATCTTATTTTTCCCGGAGACGAACCGCTTCTTCGTCGGCGAACAAGATTGCCGGGATCTGCGAAAAATCTGCGAGAGTCTGATTCGCTCTAAAGAGCGGAAGGGCAAGGGTGGCATTTGGGCAATAAAATGTCGAAGCGACAAAGGCAGCGAAAGGGAGGAGAACAGGGGGTTAAGAAGGACGGGATGCGCACGATGGCTCAAAGGAAATCGAAATGCGCTCGCGTCATTTCGTTACCTCGCTCTCTCTCTTTCTCTCTCCCTCTTTCTCCGTTCCTTTCCTTTTACTTCCTTCCACCATCGCGTTTTTCCTCTTAAGAGTGCGATTTCCCTTGAACGTAATTTTCCGGACATCCGATCGACCAGATTTCGCTTTCGTTTCTTGTTTTGCGCTTCGCCTGCTGCCGCAAGTTCTTCCTATTGTCAAGCTCCGACCATATGAGTGGAATAAACAAACGGAATAAAAATAGAAACAAAACCCCCCCGAAAGAATTTTATTTCTCTTTATCTATATGTTATCAGTTTGTTATTCTTTTGCTTTAACGTCACAAAATTATATATACGCGCGACTTCGGTTTGTTATTCTTTCGCTTTAACGTCACAAAATTATATATACGCGCGACTTCTGATACACACGCTTAAATTTAAATTTTAGTTTTCCAAAAAAAAAACGTCTATAATTAACGTGCATTTTTCAAGATCTCAATAAACCACAGTAAAAAAAAAAAAAAAAAAAAAAAAAAAATTAAAAAACGATTTTTTACATTTTATTTACCGTATCGTAGGCTATCGTGTTACATTTTTCATTAGCATATTAATGATTTTTATGAAGTTACAGGATTGCATGAAAAGATAATGTGAGCGGTAATATACATGCTGACGCATGGTTTATTACTATTCATTTGATTTCATGCAGTGTTAATAACCGTACCGCTTATAACATCATAACGTCATCACATGATATGAAGTAATATGCGCGACCGTGCTTGGTTACATTCTATAACGTTCAATCAACGGAATCCTACATACTTATTAACGCGGCATATTGTCGCCGTAATATGGCACGTTTTCTGTTAATTATCACCGCGGCAAATAATTATCATTCGCCATGATGCATAGCACCCATCGTGTTGGACGATGTCCTGTCGTAAACGTTGCCAATCATTCTATTTATTTCTCTTGTATCGGTACGTACCTACAGTGTTTTTCGCTCGCGAGAGATAATATACTCCGTGTTATCTTAGATTCCTCGAGAGTTGTGCGCGAATAAAATTTGTATTAAACTCGCTCGACAATCGCTTGTAATAAATCTCAAAATTAACAAAAAACGAGACATAATAGGTAGGGGAGACCGGGGCACAAAGTAACATCCAAAATAGATTGTAAAAAAAAATGTACGCAATATTATGTAATATTAGTTACATTATATAATAGTCACATCCTATAGCTTTAAGAAAAAACAAATATAATATCTTATATATCTTTACACAAAAGAGTATTTTAATGTTAAGTACAATCGCGCAGATTTGTCAACCTGCCCCATACC